CCGCAACATTTGGAAGATCGAAGGGAAAAACAGCATTGTGCAAAAGGCGATAGAGAGAGTGTCAGAGCGCTGTCACACTAGCCAGAATGGGGACTTTTATTATGTAATGCGGATATCCGGAAGAGACTGTTCATTACTCGGAGATCGGCAGACTGCCTCCGCCGCTGCTAGTGATCAGATTTTCTACATAAACGAGTGCTGGAGACATGTATCATTGTTCATATCAGCCTCAGTTTGAATGTATCTTGTGTTGAGTGCGTCCTATACGAGTGAGTACGAATCCTCGTGAACTGATTGATGCTTGCTTTATCAATGATGTTACGCATTTATTAGCTGTCCGATGTTGCATGGTAATGCCATTATCTACATGCTATTCTTGTAACATAGCTGTTTATTCACAATGTTCGGAGTTATAATGTTTATAATGCATAAACAAGTGAATATTCAGACAAGTGAACAGAACACTGAGCATCGGCAGTAATGAGGCGCGTTGGAGTGACGTCACCGCCCCTCTTCATCTGATTGGCTAGAGGAGGAGCTGTCAAGCTAGAACTTGTGGATAAATACTTGTAGAAGTCATGTGGATAAATAATGATCGTGGATGCACTGTTATACAAAGGGTTTATACATTGTTACTGTAAAAGGGGAGCAGCCTATAGTTTTATATGAATAATAAAACTTGTAATGGTGGTTTCATTATATTGCTTTTGTTTCTTTCAGCGAAACCACACCCTCCACCACAATCATACATTTCATGCTTCAACTGATAAGCATCCAGCCCTCTCACAAAGACAAGATTCTTTAAAGACTGTGCTTAAGTTTTTCCTCTAACTGGCTCACGCCTCTCATCATTCTCAGCAACCAGTATATGCTCATTTGCAGTGGTCCAAGAGTCCATCCTCATCTCTATCACCTAAACCACTTTGTGTCCACTGCAGTCCTCAAGCGTCTTGGTCCATATCTTGTTAGTAGACACAGACTGATGTGCATGTAAAGGCTGACTCCCCCCCTTAAGTTGATCATATCGCATCTGTGAAAATAACCTGATCAAACTGATACTTCCCTCTGTAGTGTTCTGACCGACACACCTGGTTCACTGCGATTCAAACTAGCCCTAACAGTATCAGGTAGCTCTTCGCTACATTTGTGGTCCTTCGAGCCGGATCGTAGTTGTGCTGGGAGTATGCAACAGAGTGATGAAGCATCGTGGGCCCCCTCCACTCGGCCCAAACATCAGTTAAGACAGCCATCCTATCTGAAGGATTATGAGGTCAGTGCAGTGCGACCAAAGATACGTGGCCCATCACGGTCAGCCCAGCACCACACCCGCCTAGAGAGGAGAATTGGAGCTCACAGCCTCATGTGAAGTGGAGTAGACCCCCCGAGGCACATGACGATTATTCACCTAGCTCTGAGGAGAGCTATGATGACACAAGCCTAGGATGGCCACCTACCCCTATGCCCTACACTGAGGTGGGAGCTGAGCCAAGCGGGCTACACAGAGAGAGCATGCCGTACAGTTCTATCTCACCTTATGACACTAGAAGGGAACCGCTTAAACTATCGGCCTCAGCCAGAAAGCAAGGAGCAGCACAGTGCGATCAATCCTTTGAGCGATGGCCAATGCCCCCCTTCCATTACCAGATGACTCGTTAGTGCCAGAGGAAGAGGGGATGATGAACAGCTGCCCCCTCCACCATGGCCTTCCTCCGACTACCCTCCAGAGTCGGCAGCTGTCGAGGAGCAGCGAGGGGTCATTGTCAAAGAGCGAATGATGAGTGAGTAACAGTTCTTGAGAGACAGTGTGACATCCAGCATCACAGCCCACACTAATCCACATGCGACCCTTCGGAGCCTTAACCCCCCCTCAGCCTAGACGAGGTCCTGGACAGTATGATGTCTTGTCTTCAACCCCGAGACCAGGACCCTGTTCACCCATCTCACGTCCACAACCCAGTATGTATCACACTAATGCGGGATGCTTAACTTAGTATCCATTAAGGCCTGATATGAGCCGACCGCATGCCACCAGAGGCAGACAGTTCTCGTCAGTATCCGTGAATCAGGGAAGAGGAGAGTATATAGGGCCGGCGCCGAAAATTTCTCTGTTTATCCATAACAACCCAATGGAGTTTTCTTGGTTAAAATTAGCTCTGTCAAACCTGCTACCCGCGGATGCTACAGAGCTTTTCAAGTATCAGATTCTTGTGGACCATGTGAAACTTGAAGAGGCCTGTCTCATTGCCGACTCCTTCAATAACTCACCTAGGCCATACACAGACACCATGGCAGCCTTGACTGAGAAGTTTGGCCAGCCGTACCACGTAGCCTTGAAGCGGATTGCTGCAGTGATGGATTCGCCTGAGATTAAGAGAGGAGATATAGCAGCCTTCGAGAAATTCTCTCTGCACGTACAGTCACTTGTAGGTATGCTGCAGACATTAGGCCCAGACGGAGAAGTCGAGCTGAGATGCGGCTCACATGTGGCCCGTCTCCTTACTAAGCTTCCAACTGAGATGAGAGCGAACTTCAGGCATATGATGTTCCACCGTTCTGGACACACTCATACACTGCTCGACCTGGCAGAATGGCTTCGATACGAGTCGTGGTGTCAAGGATATGACAACCCATCTGACATCCGCACCCCAGGGCTGTCTGGCTACCGAGGCGAGAAGCGACGCAGCAAGCCCGTAGCTACGGTCCTACATGGGGCTGAGAGCTATACGTCGAACCAAGCAACTAGACAAGAAGGTCAGAGTTCATCTGCACTGAGATGGAAAAGAAAAGTGAAACCCTACTGTCCGTATTGCGAGGGTACAGAGCACTTTCTCAATAAGTGTCCAGCTATTCAGAGACTCACGCGAGAGGAGGTCATAGAGTGGATCAAAGTCAACAAGAGATGCTGGAGATGCGGGAGAGCACATCAAGCAGCGCAATGTGACCTCAAGAGGCTCTGTGATGTGTGCCAAGGAAAGCATCTAAGGGTACTGCATGATGTCAACGCACGCCCCAAGGCTGAGCAACCGAAAGCTGAAAGCTGTCTTGTAAGTACCAGTACGGAAGTTCTTTATCTAGACAGACCATCGTCCCATGCCCGGGTTCTGTTGAAAGTCGTCAGAGTTCTCCTGCGCAACAGAGACAGGACACTAGACACTTAGGCGATTTTGGACGATGGATCGGAGCAGACAATGCTCCTCCCTGAGGCAGTTGACAAACTGGGCCTGCATAAGAAGCCTGAAGATCTCACTCTCCACACAATTCGACAGGAAGTTCAAACCCTGAAGGGAGCCACTGTTTCATTCAAAATCTCATCCCCAACTAATCCCAAGAGAACTTTCCAGATAGTGGAGTCCTTCACTTCACAACACTTGGGTCTAGCAGACCACTCCTACCTCATCGCCAGTCTGAAGAGGAGGTACAAGCACCTGGCAGACCTCCCCTTTGAGCCATTTGAACATGTCAAGCCGCTCATGCTGATTGGTGCAGACTACCCCCATCTACTTACCCCTGTCAAGCCGGTGAGACTGGGCCCTCCTGGAGGTCCGGCGGCCATTCGCACGAGGCTGGGATGGACGCTCCAAGGACCTGCACACCTTACCCAGTGGGCCCAGAGTATCCAGCAGTGTCTCTTCACTGGTGTCTCATCCCAGACAACAGAGCTGATGCAGAACGTGGAGAAGCTCTGGAAGATGGACATCCTGCCAAACTGGCAGTGAGATCAAAGCAGGATAAGGAAGCTCTGGAGCACTTGGAGGCCAGGACAAGGCGAGTACAGGTCGCAGGTATCCTTAGATATGCCACGCCCCTGCTAAGGAAGCAAGGCGTTCCCCCACTCAGAGCTCCCAAGGAAGCCGTCCTACCCAGCCTCAGGAGTCTAAAGAGACGCTTGGCCGGGATCCTCTAAAAGCTGAAGAGTACTGTGCAGCGATTCGGAAGTTGTTGGAAGCAGGCGCGGTCAGGAGGATCGACCCAGGCGAAGCCTCAGCCACCAATGAGTCATGGGTACATACCGCATCACTTGGTAAGTCATAACGGGAAGAGTTGTTTAGTCTTCAACTGCTCTTTTCAATTTCAAGGCCGAAGCCTCAATGACACCCTCCTTCCTGGACCAACACTGGGAGCCTCTCTTCTGGGAGTTTTATTACGCTTCAGGGAACATGCTGTGGCGGTTAGTGGAGACATCAGAGGCATGTTCCACCAGGTTCAGCTCTTACCAGAAAACCAGCCACTCCTCAAGTTCATCTGGCGGGACATGAAGTGCAATAACCCCCCTGAAGTCTTCCAGTGGCAGGTTCTACCATTTGGCACTGCGTGCTCACTGTGCTGTGCCACCTTCGCCCTCCAGATTGGGATACTTTATCACTGTTGGTGTGGGTTGTTTTTCATGTCCGCAGGTTGAAGCGACCCCAATAACTTGTATTTTAGCCCCCAGAACGCGATTTTTACCGGAGGACTCCTCGAAACGCGGTTAGTTTTGAGTAGCATTTGGGCGGGTTTTGTTATGAAAATCTGGCAACCATTTCCCTCAAGTAGGTAACGTTATTATTGCTAACATAGGGGATTTATCGAAAAATACATTGGCATCACCTGTATTAAAGAGAAACTAATTACTTCATCCGATGTTTAAGTGAAGAAATTATCCTTGACAGCCTACTTACTGGACTTCCTCAACTATTGGCTTTGTTCTCTCTCACCGGACTTGTGTGTGTGTGTGTGTGTAGGTGATGTAAAAGACGAAAGCAGGCATTTGGACCAAAGTGAGGCAAGGGAGGGGGAGACTCAAAATGTTTCTAAACTTAAAACGCATTTTTGCCCTGTTTGTGTTGTTTTACTACTGATTAAAGTATAAAACATTGTTATTTACAATGCACAGCGGTCCGTCCGTACCCCCAACCCCCCCCGGATTTCCGCATATGTCTGTAATCAGTTGGCTTTGGCCAGTTTGTAACCTGCTTTTGTAGAGTTGGTTTGAGTTCATTAGCCAAGGACATTCATCCTAAGGAAGAAGACTGGATGAAGATCGCACAGGTAAATCTACAAGAAAGCAGGGCTGCCAACTTGAGTTCAACTTGGAGTGAGATTGGTGAGAATTTCCACTGCAAGTTGGGTTGGGGTTTGTGCGGAACTACTTCCTTCCGCCACGGATTCAAAGCTCAAGTTGACAGTTAAACATACGTCACTTTTAGAATTCGTATCAAGGGCATGTGTTGCTTCAGTTAGGTTATTAGTGAAAAATAATGAGGTTATAAGAGAGAAACAATGCGGCAAGACGTGCATCCAAATGAGAGCGAGAGAGAGACCACGAAGCTAGACATTTCTTCTTATATATTAACTAACGTACGCTACGATTAGCTCAGTGAATAATTACAAAAAAACAGACCCGGCTAGAACAAGAGGAGTGATACAAAATTGTGAAAGGGCGTTCCTGTAGGATACCAGTACAATTGGCTTGTTTGAGATGCGCCTCGCCTGAAATGAAGGCGAGAGTAGGCGGCTGCAGTTTGTCTCTCATAGTTGAGGTATACCTATGATGAAAATTACAGGCCTCTCTCATCTTTTTAAGTGGGAGAACTTGCACAATTGGTGGCTGACTAAATACTTTTTTCCCCACTGTAGTTTAGTTTCAGTTTTAATTAAAGTTTTGCAGAATTAACAGATCACTTCCAGAGCGCAGGCCAAAGAAAGACGTAGGCATAATTTAATCTTTGTGAGGCAAACATATAGCGACACAAAATTAAAGCATGCTGAGATTGATTAGATAGTAATAGTATACAAATATATGATTTGGTTATATGTCTTTTCTTATTTAACCATAATCATGATATTGTAACTGTGGTGTCTTGCTCAATTTTCCTTGAACAGTCGTGCATCAATCAAAACTGGGACTAATGAAATTCAATAATGGCAATCGCATTTAACAGTAAAGGCTTATGTTTGAATGTTCTTTTCGTTTATGAAGAATTATAAGCGTGTGTATGTTGTGATTTAGCCAATGCACATTTGCTCAAAAGCCTGGCAGAGTGATCACAAGATGCTTGGCAAAAGTTGTGTTGTTTACAGAAAGGATGCGCGTTCTCATCTTTTTTTCTGTTAATTATCATGTTGCTCTGCATGTTTGTTTTTCTTCAAAGCGCCGACTTAGAATGCCTAATGTTGGTTTGATTGCTTGTGTTACATGATAAAATAAATAATCTTGCTTACCTGATGTAATAGATTTAATGCGAGTGCGGTTCGGGTCGCAACTCGCGGTCTTTGTCAAACGGTTATCGTCTGGTACAGAATTAAATTAGTGCTGCTGTCAAATAATGGGTCGGGTGTTCTATTAAGTACTGTTGGTGCACGTTTACCAAACAGGACCCATGCAGGCTTTAAACTGCTTTGCATCTCTCTGTCAGGTGACCCCATGTGCGTGATGCGCCATTACAGGCAGCTATTTCCCTAAATCTCCACACAGCTCGTATATTTTTCCGCCAAGGGGTGAGAACGTAATGATTACGAAAACGATTATTTATTTTTGATAATTATTATTTTATTTCAGTTAGTTTTTCAATAACTGTTGTTAGTTTAGTTTCATTTTAGTTTTTCAATTATTTTTATTTTATTTCCGTTTACGAAATAGTTTTTTCATCAATCGTTTTAGTCTTAGTTTTCGTTTACATAAATAACCTTGTCTGGCACTGATTCATTACATTAATGTTGTTCATCTTTTTCTATTTTTCCTTTACATTTGAATGTTTCTTGTTGTATTGTTCTGATGTATGGCATAATAATAATAATAAAAAAAAGATACCTACGAGATCAAAGGCAGATGTCGCGTAATTCACACTCACATGCTGTGCTGCTGATTAACATGATATGATTTCAGTTCTGTTGCCTTTATATAAAAATAAATATGATGAACAAGACACTCAAAATGCTTGCTATTTAATTCCATATGAAAGGCGTATTTATCATTCATTTTTACTTTAATACAAACATGTGTTTTAGATTTTTATAGAAATATGACAACAATCACATTATCTCACACAGAGATCGCACTGTCATAGTGTTTGGGAACATTCATGCATAATTTAAATACATAATCACATGAAATCAGATAGAAAATAAAATATTTTAGAAGAGAACACAGCATCACAGTTGTCTGAACCAATGAACATTAAGCTGTGTCGTCAGTCAGTCGTTTCCCATCATGCTTTTGATCAGCGCAGTCGGTGGAGAGCAACTGAGCTCGACTGCACAATCCGACACAGCCGCCTCGCCATCGCAAGAGTTTTTTGGCACAAGTCAGCATGACAACAGAGCAAGTCGGACGTAGGTGATCACCGGTGATCAGTTCTGCGCAGATTTTGCTCATCTCAAACAAGCCTAATATCTCACGGTTCTCAGATTTGAGAACCAGAACAAACTGTTGTATAAATTATGAATGAATGAATGAATGATGCATTTATATAGCGCTTTGTGTATTGTTGTACACCCAAAGCGCTTTACAATCATGTTGGGGGGGTCTCTCCTCAACAACCACCAGTGTGCAGCATCAACTTGGATGATGCGACGGCAGCCACAGGACAGCGGCGCCAGTGCGCTCACCACACACCAGCTACAGGTGGAGAGGAGAGAGAGTTATAGAGCCAATCAAGTGGTTGGGGATTATTAGGAGGCCATGATTGACAAAGGCCAGGGGGCAATTTGGCCAGGACACCGGGGTTACACCCCGACTCTTTACGAGAAGTGCCATGGGATTTTTAATGACCACAGAGAGTCAGGACCTCAGTTTAACATCTCATCCAAAGGACGGTGCTTTTTACAGTATAGTCTCCCAATCACTATACTGGGGCGTTAGGACCCACACAGACCACAGGGTGAGCACCCCCTGCTGGCCTCACTAACACAATATATATATATATATATATATATATATATATATAT